TCCTGGTCTAGCATGCAAGCGACGCACTGCAAAGGAGCTCGTTGTTAGTAAACCATAATCGACGTCGTAAGTCGCGAGGGAAGGGATTGCTGTACCCTTCTCGCGATAAAAATACCTCAGGCAGGAATCGCAGGAGGGGGTCCAGCCCCCCTCCTGTATGACCCCGGTTGGGTCGTCAAGCTAGTTCTTGTTGTTGTCTTCACATTAAAAACCGTTCCGATCTCTCTCCACTCAGTACCTTCGCATGTCCGTACTGATACAACACTCGACGCGGTCGATTCCCGTGGTCGCAGGCTAACTTACCCTAAAAAGGTACACTAAAATATAATGGTCCCGAGGGGTCCGCACGTCAATAGAAATCAACGACAGATATTCTGGAATCCTCCATTCCCTCTGCGCGCTATACGAGGTAACAACTGAGACTAGGGGTCACCATCACGCGCCGGAGAGAATGAGGTACACCCCCTTGGTTCAATCTTGGTACTTCGCAATGCAAGCAGAAACAAGGCCATCTGGCACAGAAAAGAGAGAAAAGGAGAAAAAGATAAGAAGAGAAGAAAATACAAGGAAACAGTAAGGAAAGAGAAAATGAAATAAAAGAGCGAGGACAAAAAGGGACCAGACCGAAAATAACAACAAATAATGGACAGAAAAAGGCACACGGTGGAGAGACCACTAACGACAAGCAAACACGCAAACACGGCCACCAACCAGCGATACATTGTAATGGTACGTCATCACTAGTGGTGGGTTGGTGCAATGGTGCAGCGTTGGGGGGGGGGAATTGGCAAATAGAAATTCAATCCGGCACGTATCGCGCCACTCGGTCCGTCTCTTCTCGTTTGCTTTCTTCCCTCGCCGTCTCGTCCGTCTCCTGCCCCCCTCCCGCCCCATTGGTTGGTGGCTTGTGGTTTCGTTTGAGCGCCCGTTGTCGGCTAGCCTATTGTTCCTTCTCGTGCCAGGAGGTCATGAACCTCTCAGCTCCCTGCAGCACCGCCGCATGCCAGGATACTCCCCCCTCTACCTTCGCGGCTTCCGTCCACTTTAACGTCGGTGCCGTGACTTTCGGTGCCGGGATTCCGAAACAACATGGATCGGTTTTCGTAGATCCGCGGTAGAAGTGGAGGATAGGGGCCAGAGGGGCAGACGACAGAGTCCAATGATGAGAGAGAAAAAAAAACACCAAGCGCGAAGCGCCGTAAGATATTCGGCGAGTCGCATGAAGGGTGCGCTGCATCCTGCTAAGGGTGTTTGGCATCTTGTGCTCACTTCTTTGCAGCTGCGTATGAATTAATCTATTTTTGTGGTGCTTTCACTTCCAGAGACAGTTGTAAGCACTGTGTCACTGCCTCGAGGGTGCTTGACCATTTTAACACAACGTGGTGCGATCATCCCCGTCGCGCGGAGTGANAGCACGCCAGGTTCTCACCGGACCAGGCTCTCACATCACCAAGCGCGAAGCGCCGTGAGGTATTTGGCGAGTCGCATGAAGGGTGCGCTGCATCCTGCCAAGGGTTTTCGGCATCTTGTGCTTACTTCTTTGCGTACGGATGACCGCTGCGTATGACTTAATTTATTTCCTGGTGCTTTCACTTCCTGAGACAGTTGTAAGCACTGTCTAACTGCCTCGAGGGTGCTCGACCATTGCCGCCTACTCCAGGTGACTCACACGTACATATTTATTCGAACGTTGGATGACATTTTGTGTTGGTCGAAACGTGTCAGACCATTGTAGGCAGAGCATTTTGTTGGCACTTCGGGGTGCCTAGACGTTTAGAACCCAAGCGATACCCGGTGTATTTTTCATTGAAGCATCCGATCCCCGTTCGTTCTGTCTTTCCACCTCCCAAAACTGCGGTTGAACCTATCGTGCTCTGTGTGGTTGTTGTTCGGGCTTGTGTGCGCTGGCAACGGCGTGTCAATATGAATGGTTTGATGGCCCTCCACCCCGTCGCCGACAGCTGCTACGACAGTGCCGCGTGTTTGGAGGCGGGCAGTTTGTTGTCAGACGATCAGCGAAGAAAGGTTGACTCAGGACCTTGGCATATTGACGAGTGCACCGGACATGCTAGCCCATGCACAGCAGATGTTGGATCGCCCCTCTACCAACACATACCGCCAATGATAGACGAACCCCCACATCTCCGTAGATCAGTATCGAGTGCTGAGTACCCCCAAACAGCCCCCCTACTCGGTGCTCGATATGATGTAAGAAATTCGTCAATGATGATCACGTTAAACGGCAATAAAGTCAATGCGAAGCACACAGCAACGGTCGTTCGTCATGCCATCCACTCACACCTTACAATACCGTAGTTCTGTTTCCTCCCCTGAACCTTACAATGTCGTTTATAGTCTCCTCAAGAAGGTCCGTCAAGTATTTCGTAAAGTTGTAAATCCAAAAACACAGGAATACATGCAGTACAGTCAAGATGAAGTCAAACCCTAATGTGGTGCGGGAACATCAAGGATAACCTCCGACTTGCTGGGGATACCTAAACATGAACCGATATTCAACAGCCCCCCGGCCGGGACATCCTACCTCCAACACGAAAGGTCCAACCAAAACTTTCAAGGTAATATACTTGAGAAGAAAATCCAAACATCAAACATCAGCCCATTTTTCGCCAAAACACTACCTGTTGTACTCAGCGGGGATCATGGTAAGACATTCCCCCCTCCCGTAATTGTCGATTGGAGTGCAACCAGCAGTGATTCTGCATAACGTCCAAGAATTTTGCATACCTAATGCTTCCAGCCCACAGATGCGTAGCTAAAAGCCCAAATAGAATAACAATGAATGACAGAAACGCCAGAAACTAGCATTAATAAGGAGTGCCCAATAGAGTACGCAACGCGGTCCTATCAATACCGTCAGCAATAGATATTTACTGCGGACGCCCCCCCCTCTAAAGACAATACACGGATAACAAACTAAACAACAACGATAGCCAGCCGCCCTGTAGCTGGAAATCGAACATATAGCGCCTACCCCGCTGAGAAAAATTCGAAGTGTTCAGCTCGCAGGCAAATCGCAACTAGAACCACCTCCCTAAATACTCAGGCACCGAAATCGCAGGTAAAACGCGATCCGGTAAACAACGCATTCCTACAACAACAAACCAAAGCCAAACACCGGACACGAGTCATGTTAAAGCAGTAACCCCTCTTTGCCGACATGGCAGTGGTCGACCAACCCCATTCCGTGTTCCATCAATTGCTTGCCACCATCGTCTACCTGCAACGGCATTTCGTCCACACGTCCCATGTAACAATTTTTCGTGGAGAACAACTTTGCGTGGAAGGAAAAAGGATTTCGTCGAAAGTCAGGCAATCGCCGATTGCCCCCGCCCCAAACTCTGCACACAGTACTCCAGAAACCAACCAGTGCCAACACATGCATACCCATACGAAAATTCCTTGCTCCCCGGAATGCCTCGTTCATCCCATCCATGAAGGCGACACACTTGGCTTCAATCGAGGACAGGGTAATGCTTCTCTGCGTCCTAGACAAATATGTGCCACATGCCCCAGCAAACATCACTTACAATGCACCATAAACAGACAGAAGTGCATCCATTTGCCGGCCATAGGGGGCACTAAAAATACACTGTCCACACGATACATTCCCTGCAAGAGTTCGTAAATCGTTGTAGTCCAATAGCTGAACGGCACATTGGTGCATGTTGCAAATGCTCGGTTCGTAGAAACGATGCCTGCTGCAACGTTCAAAATAATCACCAAACTTTAGCTTTGTGTACAGCGAACAACAGTGGTTGGGCGACATAGGTTTGC